TACTCCCGAAATTAAGGAAAATAAGTGGGGGTCAAAATATAATGAGAAACTGGGTACAGTATCATGATATTATTATTTTCAATTTTCTCATACTTTGTAGAACTTATACTGTGATAATAATATGTAAGACAAAAATTTCTAAATTAATGTTACCATTTATTAATTTTTGAATAAAACTTAATATTGCCATTAAAAGTTGAACTATACTTAAGCATGAGTTCAATATTTCATACTATATCATCATATCTAACGCTCAAACAAAGCATGTCCTAATAAGTGATGGTGTTTGAAATGAAATGTGCATGAATTTATGTGTTAATGTATTAGTTTACTTTGTCTAATGTTCTATTTTATTTCAGTTAATAACTGAATATGTAAAACACAAACATTAAATATAAATAACTTATATATACCATCCATCCATCCTATGGTGCTACAGCCCAATACGAGCCATGGCCTCCTTGATCAAACCTCCCCATCCATTACGATCAGTAGCCATGTTCCTTCACGATCGACTGCCAAGAAGATTTACTGATCGATTTTTAATTCACTGAGCAAAGCGCTCAACGCTATTCAAAGTTCTAACGTCTTTCTTAAATTCCAAAAGAGAAATCCATATTCCGTTGCCAATATTGTTGCCTTTATATCCGTTTATTCCCAGGCTTGTTTTCGAGTTTCGAAGTAATGTTTTTTTAAGGATAGGTTACTAGCCTGTCGCCCAACCCTCCTTGGACTTGGGACCGGCACTAGTAGTTACTGAGTTACTCAATATCCCCAGCATTTGCCAGAGGCGGAGTTATATATACTATGTAACAGTCATTTATACTGTATAATATACACACTGTTGTTAACAATACCGTGTATGGATCACATAACTAATGAAGAACTCTTGATTCAAGAGCCTTGCCTTACGATAGATTGAGCTACTTGAGATAGATTGATTTTGAAAACCGCCTATATTTTTGACAGCGTCACTAACTGCTTCAAATATATTTATACCTTTGGTCCCGTCTTCCATGTGGTGCAGTTTTAGAAGTTCCTCAGTTACACAAAAATCTTCACTGATGCATCTAACAAAAATTAATAGCTGATGTTTGTCAGTAATATCAACAGATTCTTCCAGGGCTAAGGAGTAGTACAGACAATCACGAACTGTGTCGAACATTTTTTTTCAATACATGAGTATTCAGCTCATCAACTCTTCTTGATACAGTTTGATGGGAAACTAAAACACATTCAAACATTTTTGGACACATCTTTTCATCTCCAAAGGATCGCGCCATTTTAACGGCACACCGTTTGATCATTTCTCCATCTCTAAATGCTTTTTACTTTTAACAAGCTCTAAACATACTTCATATGCTGCTGCTAAGCTTGATGATTGAACAGCTGTCGGTTTTGTAAATAAAGATTTTTGTTTATTCGATTTAGCTTATAAGTTCTTTTACAAGAGTATTGCGAGCTTCACCTTGATATTTGTCGTATTTTGTTTTGTGCTGGGTTTCATAATGCCTACTAATATTGTATTCTTTTGATACCGCGAGTACTTGACAACAAATAATGCACTGAGATTTGTCTTTTAATTCGATGAAGAAATATTGATTTTCCCATTTTCCTTGGAACGTACAATTCTCTTCGAAAATTTTGCGTTTTTGGCACTACTCATTCTGAATTTAACATTACATTTATTCGCCATTGTTAATTCAACATGACAAGTGCAGCTGACTGAAACTAACTGCCCGCTCATCGGGAGTGGGTGCTCAAGGTTAACTACTTTCTTAAGATTACGGAAAGTTAGACAGGGTTGGAACAGGTAAAAGTTATCAATGGCAATATTTTTGAAATGTGTTTGCGGGTGTCGCAGTTTAACGAGCCTCGGGCAGCATGCGGCCCGCGTGCCTGAGGTTGGACCACACTGCCGTAGCTTATTCTTGCTGTGGAAAGTTGTGAATTGGTCACAAAAACCTTATAAATGACATTGATAGTTTTTCAAACTAATACCTCCCACCTCAAAACTATTCATCTCTCTCGTCTGTGTATTTTAACTGACGGACGGAAAGGTCGGTTCATATTTAACGCACATATTTAAATATGATCTACTACATCCTACACTTCTAAATTTTAATATCTACTAGATTCAGATCTTACTGTGATTTCCTTACCGTGTATATTAACGTTTGGTCTTGCTTGACTAATGTAAAACATTGTTCATTTGTTAATAGCTTTCTCACATATAATATTTATATAATTTCACCATAGTATCCCTTTCTGACCCTTCTCAAAATGTGTCAGTTTACCATTTCTAGTTGATTGTTTGACAGTAAAACCACATAAATATACACTTCTCCAATAAGTTAATGTACCACAAAGTAACCAAAAGTTTAAAGTATATTTTTGTCGAAACCACATGTCCTATTAGAAGATTTGGTTGTTTAACGACAGATTCCGATAAAATCGAGTGCCTATTATATTTGTATACAAACATATTTTTTATAAATAAGGGTGTACTAAGTACGAAGTTGAATACTAACGACAAATAATTTGTTTAATTATTAAAGAGATGGACAGAATACATCAATGAACTGTTCAAAGACAATAGAACAGAAAAGATGGAGATAGAAGTAGAAGAGGATATGGTTTTAGAGATATTAAAAGAAGAAATTAAAATGGCATTAAAAAACAGCAAAAATGGTAAACCGGTAGGTCCAGACGAAATCCCTATAGAAATCAAAATGCATGAATGATGAAACCTTAGACATTATAGTAGACTTATTTAACTCAGTACACAAAACAGGACACATACCAAAATAATGATTACTTCCACCTTTTGTGCTATCTCTATATTGCAGTGAATACAGAACAATATCACTAATAAGTCACATTCTCAAATTATTCCTGAAAATAATAGATAGTCGTATAAATAAAAAACTCGAAGAAAGAATAGATGATAGTCAGTTTAAGTTCAGAAACGGACTAGGAACCAGAGAAGCGTTATTTGCTTTTAATGTGTTAGCTCAAAGATGCATGGGTATGAATGTTGATGTGCATGTTTGTTACGTTGATTTTGAAAAAGCATTTGACAAAGTAAGACATGAAAAATTAGTCCAAATTCTAAAGACAAAAAACATTGCCATAGGTCCATAGATTGAAATCAGGAGAGGAATTAGGCAGGGTATGTCCCCATTACTATTTAATGTATATAGTGAAGCCATTTTTGAACAAGCATTACTATCTCAAAGTGAAGGAATAATAATTAACGGAAGATCTATTAACAACATAAGATATGCAGATGACACCGTGGTTATGACAAGCTCTGCTGAACAACTCCAATTACTGCTAAACAAAACAAACAGTTTCTGTGAAAAATATGGATTAAAATGTATATAAAAAAACCAAATACATAATAATAACAAAGAAAACAAATATACCAACAAACATGCATTTAAGAAATGTACCGATATAAAGGGTTGATAAATATAAATACCTAGGAACCTGGATTTCAAACAATAATGATCAAACAACCGAAATAAGAGCTAGGATAGAAATAACAAGAAATGCGTTTGTAAAAATGAAAACAATTCTCTGCAACAAAGATCTTACATTAGAACTGAGAGTAAGAGCACTGAGATGCTACGTGTTTTCGATACTGCAATATGGACTTAAAAGCTGGATATTGAAGCAAGAACACCTAAATAAATTACAGTCCTTTGAAATGTGGTGTTACAGGAGGATGCTTAGAATAGCATGGACACAGAAGAAAACTAACACGGAAGTATTGTGAGAAATGGGCAAAGAATGAGAAATAATAAACACAATAAAAATAAGCAAGTTACAATATCTGGGACACGTAATGAGGGGACAGCGATAGAACTGCTAAGACTGATAATACAGGGAAAAATGGAAGGAGGAAGGAGTATAGGAAGAAGGAGAGTGTCATGGTTGAAGAATTTAAGGGATTGGTTTAAATGCAGTTCTATAGAACGGTGGGAAATAATCATAATCATAATTCAAGGAAAAATAGAGGGTAGGAGAAGCGTAGGAAGAAGAAGCGTTTCCTGGTTGAAGAAACTGAAAGAGCGGTTTGGTTGCAGCTCAAGGCAATTGCTCAGAGCAGCTGCCTCGAAGGTCAGAATAGCCATGATGATTAAACCTTCGTCGCGGCGATGGCACTTAAAGAAGAAGAAGAACTCTTCAGAGCAGCAGCACTTAAAGAAGTACGAAGTGATTTCCACAAAGTTTGTTTCGCCTCAAGAGTAAAATTAAAATCTCTTATTTTGTGATCTACATTATCGTTCTATTTTCTAACTGTATACATAGATGACAAGAATGCTTCCCCTCCTGGAACACTCCCGGAGTGCCACATCCCGTTTTTTGTATTTTTTTTTAAATCCATTATAATGAAATACAATGTTAATTAAAGAAGTAATTAAAAATAAATACAAGATAATATAAATGATGAATAAATTATATATTATATTAAACACAATTTTTAAAAAACAAATGTGTTATAAAAAAAATTAACAATTTAGTAATACGCCTAGACATAAAATTTCATTAACCTATATGTAGTAATAAAGCGCTATAAGAAGTAGTCACTTCTGTCGACACTCCCCAAGTGCCACGTGCCGTTTTTTATATAAAAATTAAGTTTTCGTGCAAATATAATAAGTGGTTATATCATAACTTTTTGGAGAATACAACTGGACAATAAAAGTGATATTGATATACTTTAAACATTTGGTTTGTTTTTTAATTAATAACCTACTGCATTTCTGGACATAATTTGTAGGTCATTACCAACATAATGCGATCCATAGTGACATATTAAAGTATTCACTTTAAATAATATTTAATTTTGAACTTTAAGTAATTAGATCAAGTATATTTGTTATGTAGCTTGATACTTTGCTTCCTCTTGTTGTTGTGATATCTTTAAATAAATATTTATACACTTAAAACGTTTCTAATGTACATCTGTTTATTAACAACTTCTTTTCTAGAATGTCTCGAAACTGGAGCGGGTGTACGAAATGTTCCAAAGTATGGAAAAGGCGCTGATTACTGCAAAGTTGTATTCTCTTCCTATCGTTTTTATAAAACCAGAACTGGATAAAGCAGTAGCTCAGAAAGTAAAAGAAATTATCCGAAAGCGCAACGGTCAGGTTGTGGAAACTGAAGAGACCGCCACCCATATTATATATGGGCCGGTTGATCCACTCAAAGACGAATATGGACGACCTGTCACCAAACGAGACAAGATGGTTATGATGCACTGGTATTACTTCCCGAATTCCTTCGATACTTGGGTCAATTTAGAAACAGCAGGTTTGGAAAATCTTACCGTGGAAAATAATCCTAGCCCGCATTCTGGTGCCTGGCGTATTTGTTCTACTTGGGTCTATGAAACTGACCAGTACAATGAGTGGATGGCAGAGGAAGACTATGAAGTAGATGAAAATGGCGTAAAGAAAGTACATCCGAGGTTAATGTCTGTTGAAGATCTGATGAATCCTTCAGATGAACGAAGTAAGAAGAACAAAGGTAAAAGAAAACGGTCTCCCTCGCCACCGTCTAAGATTGGCAAACGAAAAAGTGGCAGAAGCCCAGCTGTGGGTAAGAAAACTAGACCAGAGGATCCTGAATCTGAAGACTTAACAAAAGATATGGATGAACCAACTCCAGAACCAAATATTGTGGAAGTTACTCCTTCTCCAACACCAAACAATCAGCCTACAAAGAAAGACCATGAACTTCAACCCTTAAAAGGAGGTTCAATTACAGATATAGAGGAAAGTGAAGAGAGAAATGAGGATTCCCAAACTGGCAAGAACAGTGACACCAACACACAAGACGATGGACAAGAAGATAATGTCACTGAGCAAACGCATCACATTATTATTCCATCGTATTCTGCGTGGTTCGACTACAACTCTATCCATGAAGTTGAAAAGCGTGCAATGCCGGAATTTTTTAATGGTAGAAACAAATCGAAAACTCCTGAGATTTATTTAGCATACAGGTAAGAATGTTTCGAATTTACTAAAGCTTTTTAATCAAATAGTTTGATGTGTAACGAGTCCATTTTGAAAGAGTTTAAAATTGGTGCGCACGTTGGACGCCAATCGCCAAGCGAGTTCATATCGATAAGTGGTACTTAAGGCCTAAAAAAGTGCCCTAAGGTAAATGTATCATCGCCTTTTGAAATAGTAGATGATGGGAGAAACAATTCTGAATTGATAAGATGGTATAGATATGGAACATGATAAACGGAATGGAGTCAGATGTGCATGAGTACCTAGGATTACGTTGTTTTTCATTTTTGTATTGTTTCCTTTTCTGGGAAGGTATTATAAATGATTTAAATACTTTTGTCATATCTTTATAACCATAACAAGGCATGAAGAAAAAGTCTTTGGATGATTTGAAAATATTCAAAGGCAGCCTTTACATGCTCTACACAAACTACTCTAATAATAATGCTTTGTTTTAATTGTTAATAATTTTCCACTTACACTGGAATCTCATTTGTTTTTCAGAAATTTCATGGTCGATACATACCGCCTTAACCCAACTGAATACATAACTAGTACAGCGTGTAGACGCAACCTTGCAGGAGATGTTTGTGCCATAATGCGGGTTCATGCGTTTTTGGAACAATGGGGCTTGATCAACTACCAAGTAGATACAGAATCCAGACCAACGGCCATGGGGCCTCCGCCTACTTCTCATTTTCATATTCTTTCAGATACCCCATCCGGTCTGCAGCCAGTTAACCCTCCTAAAACACCTCAACCTAGCGCAGCCAAAACTTTCCTTGACCTCGATAAGAGTGAGATTAAGAAGCCAGAACCCGCTACGGAAATATCCAACTTTGGACTAAAGTTAGATCAGTACGTTAAGAAACCTGCTGTTTTAAGAAATAAAAGTGCTGCTTCTCTGACAAGAGATTGGACTGAACAGGAGACATTGCTTCTTCTAGAAGGATTGGAAATGTATAAAGATGACTGGAATAAAGTGTGTGAGCATGTTGGTTCCCGCACACAAGATGAATGCATACTTCATTTCCTTAGGCTACCAATTGAAGATCCGTATTTAGAAGATCCAGAAGCTGGGGGTGCTTTAGGACCTCTAGCATATCAACCAATCCCGTTTAGCAAAGCTGGAAACCCGATAATGTCAACCGTCGCCTTCTTAGCGTCTATTGTCGATCCTAGAGTAGCAGCAGCTGCTGCTAAATCAGCTATGAATGAGTTTGCTAGTATTAAAGATGAAGTCCCAGCGTCTGTGATGGATGCACATCTTAAAAATGTTGAAGCCTCTAATGCTGATGGTAAATACGACCCAGCCGCTAACTTAGCTCTCACTGGTATAGCTGGCACAGTACCTGATAAAGATGAAGAAGATAAGGTTAAGAAAGAGGATAAGGATGACGACAAATCTGGCGAAGACAAAAAGAATGGTGATGGTCAGGAAGACAAAGCTAGTGATAAGTTAAAATCGGAAGCATCGGACAGTGAAAAGGAAGAAAAAATGGATACTTCTGAAAATAATAAAATAGAAAAAGTTGTAAAAGATAGTGAAATGCAAAGTGCAGCAGCCGCTGCATTAGCTGCAGCCGCAGTTAAAGCGAAGCATTTAGCTGCTGTGGAGGAAAGGAAGATTAAATCTCTAGTAGCACTGTTAGTAGAAACTCAAATGAAAAAGCTTGAAATTAAATTGCGGCATTTCGAAGAATTAGAAACAACTATGGAGAGGGAACGCGAAGGTCTCGAATATCAGAGACAACAACTTATAACAGAAAGACAGCAATTCCACTTGGAACAACTAAAAGCCGCTGAGTTTAGAGCTAGACAGCAAGCACATCAAAGACTACAAGCTGAACAAGGCCAGTGGGCTGCGCAGCAGGTACCGGCTTCCCACTCAACTCCTCCTGCCGAGTCTGGACCAAGTACAACTCCCACTCCCCCATCTCCACAAGCCTCGGCTGTAGCCTCTCCCCAAGCGCCTCACCACCACATTTGAAAATTAATCAGTATATTTGATAGTATTGGATCATAAATTCAGGATAATTGGGAATATGACATAGTGAATTTTATTTTTACTTACGTCGTAACGTAACCTATAGCCAAATTTAAATTGAGGTCTACAGGATGATTTCTATTTTTAGTTTTGTGACAAAATAATATTACTGAATGATTTTCTATTATTTAAAACAATAATGTATTTTACTATACAATCTGTCAATGAAATAATAGTCGACTAAATGTAATTTATTGTAACAGCTTTTTGTAACTAATTTTCTTTATAAAAACTATATACCAAGGGCTTACATGATTTTTTTATGCAGTTTAAGTACTTTTTTATTTTTTGTTTATATATTATATTAACTCATCTAAAAACGTTTTTTTTTTGTTATTAACCCTGTATCTGTCAAAGTGTTTCAAAATATATAAAAAATACGATATTTGAGTTATGGTGTCAGTTTGGAACCACAAACGATAACCAATAAAAATAAAACTCATTAAACTAAAAGAAAGTGACTTTTGAATTTGTAGCTTAAAAGCTACGTCATTTTGAGCTACAGTCTTTTATAGCTAAGGTGTGGGGTGAGGTAAAAATCAGATTATCAAATATTTTATATTTATTTAGAATAAAAAATAAACAATGAATAGTTTCGTCTATGGAATACTGATTTTTAAATTAATGTTTCTGACAATTCAATCTGACTGCATCCAAAAGTGGCATGATTTTAAAATACCGATCTTTGGTTTCGTCTGTAACTTGGCTGTTGTCATTGCAGTGTATAAATCTTATACATCTCAGTGTATAAACTTGGTAAAGTACTCTAAAGGCGGAGCTACCTTCCACTAAAAAATCGATCTGGAACAGAAGTGGAAGTAGTTGTAATATCATCTTCTGTCCAATTGAAATGGGTAGGATCTCTTTTTGCTTTTTTTCTTGGTACAACTTCCTCTTCTTCGTTTGCTCCTTCCTCATCAGCTTCTATATCTTCATCTATTTCTTGTATAACCATATTGTTAGGACCTGTTTCATCATCAGAGTATTTGAAAATATTTTCGTCTTACAAATAATTTTCTTCAGAATCAGATAAATCGGAAATATCTGAAATATTTGGATCTACCGGAGTTATTGCAAGCGTTTTTTTCTTCCCATAAAAACAGGCAGCCCTGATTGGCTTAAAATCCATAACAAAAAATTTCTTTGTAAAATCTGCAACAAAAAAAACTGCCCATGTTGCTTTTTACCTACATAGTTTTTTGAATGCAGATTTTACGGTTATATAGGTCTTTTATTACTGTAAATATTTAAAAACCTAAAGTAATGATCCTTTATATTCAACGTAAAGCTAAAATATTGTACACAAAAAGGTTTTTACTTACTTTTATGATGCAATATTTATTCACGTTCAAACAGCATGTACTGTCGCACAACTGTTCACTTCCTGCCATGTTGAAATAAAATTTCTAAAACCTTGTAATAGATGGTGCTGCCAGCCTTAATGCTAATAAAAGACGTAGTTTAAAGGCTACATTTCTAGATAGGGTATGTAAAGCACTATGCTATTGAAATTATCGTTCAAAGTTGATGAAGGCCAAAATGCTACAGGACTAGATACAGGGTTAATTGTAAAAGAACACGGCTTACATAAAATTTAAATCGCATGAGAAGTGGCCATCTCTAATTCAACTATTTTTCTATCTCTAATATTATTTTTAAAAGTAAATATGTTCTTTTATTGCCTGCTTCATTGTGTACTAGGAGTAGAGATGCCACATGATACAGTAAATCTTATTCATGATCTTTATTTAGTTGTTTCTTTTACTGTGTATAGTACGGTAATCTATAATGAATTTCAAAATGTTCTTATTTATTTTTAATCTTTATTGTGAAAAACATATTTTTATCAATGTATTATGTGGCTGTAGCTATGGAATGACTAACATGTTTGTAAAAGGGGCAATAATAATTTATAAAGTTTCCATGAAATATACGAAAGTAGTCAACTACAGAATACATTGGTTTCTGGGTTTATGTGCTAATATTTGGAATTATTTCTTCCTGAACTTCTGTCGCCAAAAACAATTTTGGTGAATACAGATGGAACTTTAACATGAAATAATTCCAGATCTCTGTCTATTATCCAGAAAATAATGTATAATAGCAGAGCACTGGTTGTGAAAGACTATAACTCTCCTTACAATATGTTACATTTGAGATACAGTGTACAAATGTTCTCTCAAATTTACAGTTCTGCGTAGGTAGTCTTGCTACTCATCTCAGGACAAACACTTGGAAAATGAATTCCAAGCCCAATAAATGTGCTTTAATGATTGACTCTACTTGTCATAATAAGTAAATAGGGATATTATATAATATATATGCTGGAGAGGTAAATTGAGGAAAAACCGTCTAGAAACATCAACACTCTCTTGTATATACCATGGATTTTAATATTTGTAATCATTTTGCCCTTTTTAATAACTTAGTACATTATACTTACAATTTTCCAATCATCCTAACTTAGTTTGGTTGTAAAAGTGAAGGAAGAATGTAGCCAGCAAAGGGAAACAATGTAGATCTTATTTTGACCATATAAACATAAAAGTGAAAATCCTGTAAGTGATTAGGTTCATATTCCTTTACCAAAACTGTTTGATTATAAATCTTACCTAGAAATAAAATATTTCGTAACAAATAATGTGTTTTACTTTTCCATACAAAAATTTGTGTACATGGGGATATTTTCTTCATTGTTGAATGCAACGTGTTACAGGTAACAAGCCAGTATTGCAATATTTATAAACAATTGTCTAGTTTTTTGTTATCAACCTACTGATAAAACAACAATTAATTCTGCCAAGAGCTCTACGCTTTTGGCAAACCAATGTAGACAACATATTTTACAATATTGTTATTTGCGGACATTCTAGGAGAAATATAAACATTAATCTTGATTACTCCACTATTTTGACCACAAAAGCAATAAAAGTATAAATAATAAATTCTCATTCAATGCCTACATCCTTCTTCGTATGGTGCCCTATCCAATTAGTGGATGTTGGTGACAATTCTGGCATACTCCTCTCGATCTTGTGTGGCTCTAAAAAGTGCATGTTCATCGAGGTTTGTCCAATCACTTATGTTTTTAAGCCATGAGTATTTCTTTCTTCCGATGTCTCGTTTTTCTTCTATCTTCCCTTCCATAATAATCTTTAAGAACTGGTACTTGAAATTTCGAAATATATGTCCTAGATAAGCAGTTTTTCTTCTTTTTATTATTGGCAGTAATTCTCGTTCTCTGCCCATTCGATTTAATACTTCGACATTTGTTGTGTGATATGTCCAGGGAATTTTAAGTAGTCTTCTAAATACCCACATTTCATAGGCCTCCAATCGGTTCATCACATTGGCCTTTATGGTCCAGGTTTCTACACCATATAGCAGTATGGAGTAAATGTAACCAAAGTGATATCGAAGCGTGAGACTGCTGTTGCTTAGTAAAGTAAATACTGTTATGGCTTGCTTAATCCTGCTACGTATCTCTATGTCTGGATCTAGATCTTCAGTTATCCAACTACCGAGATATCTGAACTTTGGGACCTTTTGGATGTTCTTGTTGTTTACTCTTATATTTAATTGCATATTTCGTGTTCTACTAACCACCATTATCTTCGTCTTATCTATATTAATCTTCAAGCCTAATCGTTCTCCTTCGGTGTTTATTCTATTTATTAGTCGTTGTAGCGCTTCTTGGCTATCAGCTATTATGACTGTATCATCAGCATAGCGAAGATTACTAATGGGAGAATATATGGATTACTGAGAAATATAATGTAGATTCCAGTCCTACTCTCACATATGCCACTTGATTCATATAAAGATTTTTAATTATTTTCAGATCTTGGTTGTTAATTCCTGCTTCTTTTAGTATTTGCATCATCTTGGCGTGCTGTACTCAATCAAATGCATTCTCGTAATCAACTAGACATGCGTATTAATAACATACCAAAAATTAACCTTTCCCTTAATAATTATCACCAAAAAGGAAACCAACATACAAATTTTGATGCAATCTTTTCTAGAACTAGTCAACACAAACTCATATGACGAGGTTCTCTACACAGATGTATCTAAAACTGAGACAGGTATCGGATATTCTATAACAACTGTACAAATAGAATCATATCTGTACACCTTCCTCCAAGCATTATAATGCTTATGTAACCATTATATATTCCAAACCTCAATTATACTTCTGAAACAAACATAACATTAATCTGGATTCCTTCTCCCGTTATCATTTTAGGTAATGTGACTGCTGATACAGCTGCAAAAGAACAAATTAGGTTAGGCTGCAAAAGAACAACCAAATCAGACATCAAATCTGTTTAACTAGCATTAGATCATAAACCACTTTTCAGGTCCGAAATCAAAAAGTCCTGGCAAATCCAATAGAAGAATTCAATCTCGAAATTACACAAAATACAACCTACCATCGAAACCTTTCATAACTTAAGTAGAAGAGACAAATTAACCGTTCGTATGTTAAGAATTGGTCACACACGGCTGACACATGGACACCTGATGGCTTCAGAGAAATCATCTGTTTGTAAAAAGTGTAGTGAATCATTAACTTTCTTCTTTGAGTACCGTGCCCAAGTTTTAGGCGTGGGTAGCTTCCATGACGATTTGCCGATATCGTTCTCGATCTTGCGCGGCATGTGATAATTCATCTGCTGATAAGCCAGTCCATTGACGAAGGTTTCGGAGCCATGAGTATTTCGTCCTACCAATTCCACTTTTTCCGTTGAGTATCACCTGCATTATCCTGTATCTGCTTCCTCTCAAATGCTCCTCTTGCAATTTCTATACGAGTTTTAATTTCTCCATTCGGATTTGGTGTCTCGCTTATCCAACATCCTAGATATTTAAAATGGGTAACTTTTGTTATCGGTTCATTATTGATATTGATTATAGTTGTATACGGCCGAGGTCTTGTTTACTAACCACAAGTAACTTTGTCTTTGTTGTATTTATGTCTAGTCCGTTATTAGAGCATTCTCTAGTGACTCGATCTATAAGGAATCGAAGATCTATACTTTCAACCATAATCGCAGTGTCATTTGCATATCTGATGTTGTTAATAGTTTCTTGCCCGATTCGAACTCCACATTGCCCTTCCAAGGCTTCGTTAAAAATGATTTCTGAGTAAACGTTAAACAAAGTTGGAGACAACACACAACCCTGTCTAACACCTTTTCGAATACAAATTTTGTCTGTTTTTTTGCCGTCTGCCAGAATAGAAGCTTGTTGATTCCTTTATAGATGTTGTAAAAGTCTCAGATCTTTATCATCTATTGCAATCATTTCTAGATATTCAAACAGCCTACCATGTTGAACTCTATCAAACGCCTTCTCAAAGTCTATAAAACAGACGTAAATTGGTTTCTGTACTTTCCATGATCGTTGAAGTAGTGTTAGCATTGAGAACAAAGCTTTCCTTGTTCCCAATCCTTCTCTGAAATCGAATTGTTTATTTCACATTTCGGCTTGATTCCATTCAACAATCCAATCATGAACAACTCAACATATTCTTACAGAGTGTGTCAAGAACGAGCAAGAACAAAAAAATACTCTATACAAGGTCTTACAAATTTGATCATCAGCCAATTAGAACTTGTTTAGAATGTACTAGATTTCCTTCGAGAAATGAAATTGTATTACATTTAGTGTTTTCTTTCTTTTACTTTCTCTTTTTTGTAAATTATAATGTAATGTAAAATGTATAGTAACAAAATTGTCCCAGTGTCACTAACCTTGTAGTTGAGATACAATAGACAAAATAAAAAAATTCGTCATACTAGGAATTTTTTATCGAAAGAAGATAGGTATAGAAGAAAATATACAGTGTGGAAACCACTTATGGAATAAAATTGTTTGTTTCTTTAAAAATGATAAAAAACACCGAGACCCGCCAACTTTTACACAATCACCATGTACCTTTAAATTTTTGTTTAAAAAACTCAAATTCAAAGTTGACAGGTTCTAGCTATTTGATATTTTGTTAAAATAAGGAGAATTTTATTAAATACATGGTTTACACACTGTATAATTTCTATATTTCACCCTGTATTATTTATAATGGATCCTACATCATATCATTCGTTGTACTCTGTACGTTTAAAAAGCGCACATTTATATTTAAAGGTCTCAGTATTTTTGTTATAATTTTTTAAATTATGGATACCATTTTATTAGGTGGATTCCACACTGTATGTGTCCAAATAATAAATAATCTCTGATGAGATCTTTATTTTTAAATTATGATTTAATAACTATAAGGAAAAGTGAAGAAAATTATTTACGCAGGTGTTTTAGATGACACCGCTGATATAAATGTACGTCTGGCAGACCATTAGCCACTACGATTTTTTGTTACAAAATATGTGGAATTGAAGATTTGTTTTAATACAAATTAGCTAAGTAAATTCAATAAACTCCAGTGGTGTTTTGGATTACGTTCATGTCAATATAAAATGAACGTACGGTGGATCAATAGCCACTGCTAGAATTTTTTACTTCCAACTAGGTTGCTGTGTAGCGAAACGATGTTCGAAGATTTTTATGTTTCGATGGTATTGTCAATAAATTTAGTTTTTTCAGTAATGTTTTTGCAATGTAATCAACTTGTAGCCATTTTAAAAATAAATGAATCCCTATTCCCTTTATCGCTTTTCTTCAATGCGCATGAATACCAGCCATTGCTTAGTTCATTGTTGTCATACTTCTGACATTTATTAGAACAGGAAAATTTATTAAAGAGATTTTATTCTGAACTAGTTTGTTTTATATTATTTTGCATGGTCATTTTTAAGAGTGTCAGTTAACAATATAAGATGTTTGAAATACGACAAAATTAATATATAGGAGTGGCATAGTTAAAAAATAGGAAAGAAACTGAATTCACGTAAGAATAAATTGAAATGCGAAAGCCAATAACATCAAAAAAACTGCTTACTGCATGTGAAATATTTAATAACTTGGGAAAAACTAAGTGAACGAAATATGAAAATAAGTTAAATCTGTTCAAATTAAATCAGCCACAAACCGCTATTTCGTTTCGTGGCGATACTTCCGTGACGCTCGCCTCAGCATTTTACTATAGAGAAAAAGTAATACAACGCCAGTATAGAAACAAAGACAGTGTGAAAAGGTTTCACAGAGATTTTTAAAGATGTTAGGAAGAAATCGAAATTAGTTCTACCAAAAACTAAGGTTGAGTGGTAGAAAATCTTTACGATAAACACCAAAGAAAATGTAAGAAAGATAAAAATAGCCAAACTTTCAAAATAAAGTAACAAAATGTATTCCATCTAGATACTCAAGTATTAAATAAAATAAAAGGATGTAACAGTTGAACCAGATGATTACGTGAGAAAGAACATAATCAAAAGTAAAACCAGAGAAAACAGTTGTTTCCAAAAAAGGAGAAAATAAAGTACAGAAAAAAAAGTGTAGTGGTTGGATCAGATATCTCAAAGCACAAAAGTGTGATCATTAGGAATTTATATTAACATTGAAGACGTTTAATTGCTATAATTTTGAAACAATTCGAATTAATTTATGATCAAATTTGAAATTGGGTTAGTAAAGAAATTGTTATCGATCGATGAGATTTTTCAAACGTAGACATGGCAACGTTGTAGTCCATAAGGAACAATCTGGATTAATATCAATTTCACCATTTGCGATTATTCTAACATGGCCGCATGTTAGTTACTGAATTTTCTTTATTGTTTGCCAACGTTTGTTAAAGATTTAGTAGTGGTGTTTGTTTAAACTATATTAAGATTGATCTAGAATACAGGTAGATTGAAGTAGTGGTTAGTGGCAGGTATTTATACCTATTTTTTGGATAAGTTGTACCGGTTTTGGTCTTGTTGATCTACTCCTCCCTATTGAGGTAGTTGGGCAAAGAATAGGGTTTTCTGATTTTCTATTTTTGATTATTTCGACCTGAAAAATGTTACAAGACCATCATCACATGTCTCAAAATGGGATGCAAAGAAATGCAAGGTAAATATACAACTATATCACTAATATTAGTTAATTGATCTGTAGTAGTTAGTCAAGTTCTAATAAATTGATATTTATTTTTAGAATGGGGATGCAACAAATGGGGCCACCCCCTAATCAACGAACACCAATGCTCATGAGTATGCCAGCTACTGGTAAGTTTTTAATATATTTTTTAAAAACACCTTTTTATAACAGTAGTTCTTTGATTTGGATAGTTTCGTAGATCTGTATTTTATACTTACAATTTGAATACCTTCAATCATTTAAATGCGCCTATTGTTTTTATTAAAAGAAAATGTTGATGAAAGACCACTAATGAAAATTATAGTGTATTTCAGCATTCTTGACATGTGCGTCATTTCTACATAATAGAAAATAAATAAATAGTTTTTTTGATTAATACTGAGCTGAATTGTGACAATATAAGATTAAATATACAATCTAACAATTTACAGGTTTAGATTATTGTACAAAATTTACATATTTTGCACATAATCTTTTATGAGAACTAATAAATTCTAATTTTTAATTAACAGTATGATTAAAAAATGATTAGTTGTCTTCAGAACAAGATTCATTATCTGCATTGTCCTTTATTTTCCCTTTTATCATGTAAATATTTATTTTATTGCTAATCCTTTTATGTCCCATATTTGTTGTTTTCCAGTATGGCTGTATAATATTTATTAGTTATGATTCAGATAAATTCAGTCCGTTTCCATTTGTCTTGAATAAATTCATGTACTTCCATTGCGAATTAGGTTCACTATGAATGGATGCTTAACCACCTTCCACTTGTCCTAAGAAGTCTATTGCTGCTCCATTGTGAATTATCATTATTCCCATTTATTAAAGTTCGAAACTATTTATATTTCTACATACATCCTATATTTTCATTGCTAATAACAAGATAACATTATTATGAACTGTGAAAAACTTTCCGCAGAGTGTCAAACTTCTAGATCTAGGCTATTAACATGATATTGTCTGCATTTCTCTGATTATTAATATGAATTATATTATTAACACTTCAGCTATCTCGTTGTCCAGTGCTACTTGCGTAGTAGCTTTTGAGTCCAGTTAAAGAATAAGAGAAAAGGTCGCACCCATACCATGCACAGCTTAATTTTGATGTTTTATTTTCATTGGACAGGAATATGCAATGCCTAAGAGCTATTTCAATTAACTAAAGACAGTGAACAACTTGCCAATTTCATGGGAACTTCATATGGCACTGAAAGAAAAAGAGTGTGAAATATGCATATTTTTGGTACCACATCTTTTTGTTACAGGTGTTCTAGTCTCGATGCCTCCTGGTCCTGGGCCAACTTTAATAACAACTACATCTATCCCCCAACAACCTCAACCAAAAGCCAATATCCAGCAACCAGTATATCACTATGAAAACGCTGGTCAACCTACCGAGCCAGATCAGCACAGTACTGAGCATCAGAACTGTTCAAACACTAATACTTTGTCTACGCCCAACGCTACTTTGGCAAACATAAAAGAAAAAACACCCATGTGTTTGGTTAATGAATTAGGTAAATGCTCCAATTTTATTTTATACTTTATAGTCTCATAGTGTACTTAATGTCTCATAACATACTTAAATTTCTGTCTGGCATAATTTTTCGTCAAATTCTTAGTTATTTTGTTACATTAAGATGTATAGGAATTTGTACCTAATAGAAAATTGACTGTAAAATAATTTTCTTTAACCCTTTACCGCATGAATTTTTGGTGCCAAATATGGAACATCATTCAACAATGTAATATTAAAGTCAATTTTGAAGCTACAGTATACACTATATAGTATGAAACTGCAAATAACAGTTTCTTTCTTTATTAATACACAACAGTATTGTGCATTTTGTGCACACTATTATGTCTTCCCTGTACAGCCTGGAAATTTGCGTCTTGACCTAGTGCTCTCATCCTAATAGGGAAAATGATCAAGCCCATCTTTACGGATGTCTTCTTGGGGTATTTTTAGTGGGTCCTTTTTTTCATTTGTTCTCGTACATCTGCTGAATGCTACTACTTGACAGTCTTCCTATACTGTTCTGTTTAATTGGTTTTCTGGCTATGCATAGAGCATCAGCTATTGCTAGTTTGGTACCCAAAAGGGGCAAATCAAATTTCTTCGCACTTTTGGATAATAACCAACAGTTCACAGCTGTCATGTCAATGACATGAAAAAATATTCGTAAATAATATTTCTTCAACCTGATTTTTATACGATAAAATCCTAATATGGAATCAAGGAGATCTACACCTCTCATGTAGTTGTTGTACAGGACACTGTTAGGAAGGTATCATTTTATGTATACTTTCTTGTATGAAAAATCTTCTTTTTTCTCCCTTTGGTTCACTTCTAGCATATTATGTTGAAATTGTAGTAACAATTTTATTATCAAACCAGGACACTACAACGACATCCACATTGTCTACATTGGCTATTTTCTCTATCATATGACCTCTGCCGCTCTTCTTCGTTTCTTCCTCAGCTGGCATTACAACTCCAGGAACACAATTAAGTCTTACTGTTTCCAAAGGTAAAATGTCCTCTTTGGCCCTATATATCATAATATGAGGTATGCGGGTGAACCAATTGTCAAAAAACAACTTGTAATGTTGATGTTTTGATATCGAATCTGCTAATTTGACAACCACCTTGCTGCTCATACTAAGATTTGGTGCTCCTAGAGGTACAATATTACTCTAGGAACCAGCAAACAAATTAAAGTATAGCTGAATCCCGAAATACCACTCAGCACAAAGTTTTTGAAGCCCCACTTATGTGGTTTCTTGGGCTATACTGCTTTAGCTGGATTCGCGCTTTTGTTGGTATAATCTGTTCACCTACAGCTAGAAATTCTTCTTTCGGAACCATGAGTAGTCATTCTTTGATTTGGCTCAGAACAGGTATAATTTTGAATAATCTGTCATGTCCAGGCTGATCATTTTTAATCGTGTCATCATTGTTATTGAAATGCAAGAAACATTTTATTTCTTTGAATCTGTTAAAGAAAAATTTTATTTCCACTACTACAGTGGAACCTCGATTATCCGTCAGGGCGCCGGACCAAGGGTATGACGGATAATCGAAAAGACAGTTGACAGAACATTAAAAAAATTCATAGTATAGCTCTCAAAAAATTTTATTTGTATGTTTTATTTGACAATATAAGAGAGATTTATGTTAGTACAGTCGAATCAATTTGATTTAAATTATTCCGAAATCTTTGTATTCTTGTTACTTAACATTTTGCAACGGCTGAATTTCTTAAACGATGTATTTGCTTCTTCTTGCTGAGAATACCACTTGATGAGTTGTTGTATGTGCGATGCAGCTCCTCTAGCTTCTTTGCGCAAATCATTGTGATTTGTAATAGCATCATCAAAATCACCACCATCAAAGTCGTCTTCTGAATCAGTTTCGTCCGCCTCTGTTGCTATTTCAACGATTTCATCGTCTGTCATCAATCGATAGCCGTTTGCGTCCTCATCAACGAAAACAAAACAGTTGATTTAGCCATAACTTCATTTAAGGAGAGCATTTTCATCATAAGTTGATTCAAGCCATAATTTATTGCAGGCTGTTTTCAGCGTTACTTCCGAAACAGCAGCCCAAGCATTCACAGTATTGTCGATTGCGTGTTTTAAATTGAATGCTTTTCATAATTCTGGCAAAGGATATTACTCTTCCATAACTAGGTTTTGAATAAATTTTTTTTTGAATGTGTTAATGACCGAATGATCCATTGTTTGTATCAATGATGTATTTGCAGGCAGAAAAGAGTAGGTTCTATTTTTATCGTCACTCCGCAGCATACCGGCTTTGGAAATTTTTTTGCAAACAAAATGAATTGATGACTAAATTTTTACTTATGTTGTCAATATAACTTATGTATGGACCCTGACGGTTAACAGAGGTGACGGTTAATAGAGAGACGGATAATCGAGGTTCCACTGTAGTATGTGTCAGATATGGGCTGTCATTCAGCTACGACAAAAATTTAGTTAAATCATTAATTTTTTTTGTTTGTGCCATTTATAGCACATGATGCGGTAAAAGGTTAATCTGTATTTTGACAGATGGTAACAGCGGCAAAATTGTCATTGACAAGTGGTAGAAAGAGTAAAAAGAGTTACTTTTCAATTGTATATTGAACCAACGCTCATAAATGGATAAAGCACATCCGGAAAGCCTGCTTAAAATTAAAAATAGTTTTAACAATAAATTATATAAAAATTCCACTCTGTGGGAGATGTTTTCAATGTTATTTTTTATGCCATAGAAATATGAATGCTGAAATAGCAACATATTTTGTTTCAAATTCAATTGCCGCTCTAATTCGTCAAAATTTCGCTGACAAAGGCGCCGCTATCAGGCGATGTAGACTTGGTTGAAACAATAAACAATTCTCAATAAACACCGTTGACCGTTGTGCTAAAAGTGCATAGTAAGCTGTTAGACAAGGCGAAAAGCTCCGAAAATATTCCTTAGAGATTTTTTTGCTTAACCGCTTTGTGATAAGCATATTAATTTTGCAGATGTAATAAAATAAAAATTAAAAGCGTCTTAATTTTAGTTTCTATATTACATGAAGTGAAAAATAAAATCTTGTATGTATGACTGGTATTACCTTATGATTACAGATTTATTTAAATTTTTTATAACTCTAAAAATAGAATATCCTAACCAGAACAAAACGACATTAAATAATTACTAAATAATGTTAAACAAATGATTAAATTAAAATGTATTGAATTTTCTTGAAAATCTTATTAAATTGAAATGAATAGTCCACGTTAAAGGTCACTCATCTTCGATCCCTTCTATAGTCAAAGGGTGCTTAAATTTTACAGGTTTTATATCTACAAGATCCTAAGATTGATTAAAGTTATTTCCCAGTATCTTCTTCTTAGAGTGCCGTCTCCCTACGGAGGTTGGCAATCAGAATGGCTATTTTTATTTTTGAACTTGCTGCTCTAAACAAATCAATCGATCTGCATTGATACCAATCACGTAGATTCTTCTCCAACAGATCTTCCTTGATTCTTTCCCTGTATTATGAGTCTCAAAATTTCATATTTTAAAACTCTCTCCAAAGTACTTCTTTATTTGTGATTCTATCAGTATATTTATGATTTTACTGTCAATGCGCTTGTTCATAAGTATTGATATTAGTTTTTCATGTCTTACTTTATCGAAAGCTTTTTCGTAGTCAACAAAGCACAAGTGTAGATCAAATAGTCCTTTTCGACTACCCATTCCATTTCGGAACCCGAACTGCGTGTCGCTAATATCCTCCTCCAGCCTTTCGTATATTCTCTTATGTATTACTTTCAGCAGTACTTTTAAAATATGACTCATGAGGCCCAGTGCTCGATATATTATTTTTCATCTCAGCACTATTTATATTTAAGCTTTCCATTGGATGTTGTAGATCTTTGCTAGTTGCAATGTTACTCTGCATATCGCACGTATAACTCCTCTACTTTCTTCTGATTGCTATCTATCAATTTGCTCTGGGACACTCTGGTTTCAGTACAATGTTTGGATTTTCTTTATAATTTGATACTCAGTGCTCTTATTTATAAATATTGATATTACTTTTCATGTGTTGCCATCAAATAGTTTTTTGTAGTCAACAAAGCACGTTCTTGGGTAAATATTATAAATTGTCAGTTACTTTTTACTGATAAATGCACGAGTTATTTTAACATTGCTTTTTGTTGCTGTTAATACAAAACTAACAATTCTGGACATTCTATATTCATTTCTGTATTTCTTTGTTGTCTGTAAAACAAATAACAGATTTTTTTCTAAAATATAAAAGTAGTTTCAAAATTAAAATTTTTTGTATGAGAACGAGATCTCTTTTTGTTTATTTGAACTTTTAATTGAAGACTAATATTTTCACCACTTAATAGTTTTCGAGGGTAACAAAGTTATAGCAGTGACAAAATAACAGTTTCAGAAATCGAAGCGCACCTCTAATCAACAAATATTTAATTAGCGCTACAATGTTGCCGTTTTTTCGGTTTTTGCGAAATATTCCTTATAGACCATGGCGGATCTGTGAATAACGACTAAATTTGGATGTGAGTGGTATCATTCGGATTTTTGCAGAAATTGCATAGGTGATAATCATTCAGTAATAATCATTGGCTTATCCTCTCTCTCAAATAGGTCTGGAACATCAATAAAAAAAATAAAATATTTAAACATTACTAAAAACATCGATTTTTTCTATTTACCTTTAATATACATACAATATAATAACAAACTAAATTTTTCTAAGAATTATAATTTTGGGACCCCAAAAATATGCAAATAAGTTTACTACTTGGATATCCATTCTTCCGTATTGCGTACATTTTCGTCCCTCGTGTATTTTATCATTTTCCTATGTGTCTGGTGTATCACAACTTATCTTTACTGTGTTATCTGCTAAGGATTTTGTGATGTATCTGTATCTGTGTTTTCTGCTATTAGATCTATTTGTTTTATAATTTCATTGTATTTAATTACTTCGTAGACATATATTGGAGGTGGTTTTGATGTTTTATTTGCGTTTTCGTTAGTTTTAGTAGATTCTTCTTCCTCTTGGTCTGAGAGTGTTAGAAAACTATATTTATTATTTGTTACTGTCTCTGATAGTCTATTGGTAATATCCACTTTGAAGTATAAATAAATTAATTGATTTATAACAAACCTAAAGCATCCCCGGCATTTGATAATGCGTTTGTTAGATGGCTCTATTCAAGTTACATCAGATTAAAATTAATAAAATTAAAATGAAGAAAATCGCTGCATTGGAAGCTAAAGAATTTTTTTATATTTATAATAATATAATAAAACTTAGGTTATCACTTAACCGTAATCTTGCCGTAATTGATAAGAAATTATCACCTATTTCTGCAAAAATCCAATATCATTTCTCCGAATATCCACCTCAAACCAGATCTGTCCTTGTCTATTACTTGCCAGGTAGAAAAATGTTTGTACTACATTTATAATAGTAAATGTCGAGACAATTAATCTACAGCTTTATGTACGATATTTTGTAGTTGCCAAAATCTTTAAAAAAAGTGTATTATTTATTATGAAAATAGCATGATTGTTTTCTCTTTAAAGCAAGATACAATAAGATCCAACACCAGTATAGACTCACTGGGGAGCAAGGGCCTGCCCACAAGAAAATATTCACAGTTACCTTGAAACTCGGTAATGAAGAATATGAAGCAGAGGGGCCCAGTATTAAAAAGGCACAGCACTCGGCTGCCGCTCAAGCGTTGGCTAAAACTGAATTCAAACATCCACCACCAAAAACGGTAAGAAATCGTCCAGGAACACGACCAACTAACCCAGGGGTTGTTACTCCAACTGTTGAACTCAATGCTCTTGCTATGAAGAGGGGGGAACGTACAGTATACGTTGTTGAAAATGGGGGTGCTCCACCACATCAGGTAAGAATATCTGAAAACCTGACAATAGGAAATCCATCATGAAATATTACTCTTTTTATTGAATTTGCTTTTCAATTTTATTAATTCGGAGTTCCATTAATGATCATAGATTGAACGGTCATTCCACGTACGTTCCATGTGAACATCAAGCAAAAATTCTATTCACTTTAAAATTATAATTCGTATCTAAGTGTTAGGGTTTTATTTTATTTGTTTGTTTTGGACATTTGACAAAAATACGCGTTCAAATATAGAATTTGCACAAATCCAACAAAATCAGGAATTGTCACGGAATAGGTTTGTTAATAATCCTCTAATAATAATAAAAGCAGTCTTATACTTTACTTTGAAAATTTGCTTTTATGCGAGTGTCTATTAGTGAAGATTTCTTCTATTTCCAGCATCCACACATCCAGTTTGAGACCTTTTGTAGTAAATTCTTTCTATTTTTTATAGTGCCGTTCATATTTTGATAAAAGTTTTGTATCGCTTTTGTTAGTCTTTTCTAAACTAAACTAAACTTTTCTTTTGAAGAATTCTGTCCATCTTTGTATTATTTCACTTTGTTGAGTTACTATATCTCCTTCTTTATCTCTGCCCATCTTTGTTCTTGGTTTAAATTCTTTTCTACTTGTGTTAATTTTTTGTAGAATTTTCTGGTTTCTAATGGTTTATTTAGTTCTTCCATTTCTTGGAGTTCTTTTTCTGTGTTCTCTTTTCTTTCTGCGATGTATTTTCTTCTCTTCCCCCCTTAGCATTCTATATTCCTCCTCTGCCTTTCGTGTTCTATGTCGTTGTTGTAGTCGTTGATATGCATTATTTTTTCTCTCCGTTATGTTACGACACTCTTCATTGAACAATTGTCCTTCAGTTAATTTGAACTTTTTTTTTTCATCTTGTATATCGTTTATAAAAATGACATTAAATCATTTCCATATTTTCGTCATTACATATTGGTATCATCAAATTTATGAAAAGCAGCTGTTAGATACCTGTATCAATGAGTGTCACTGGAAAATCCTTAGTTCTCTGTACTTTCGAGATTTTGTACTTTTGTGTTATCTTAAAAGGGGGTTTGTATGTGTCGTTATATTTGTGCCCGAATGGAACATTTTAAATTATTCTTTAAGGGCATCAAAAAGAGTATAAAGCAGTTTTTTAATTATAACATTGAACAGACTATTTATCTTCTTAAACATTTAATAGTATCTTACGGAAGATATCTTATATTAGATCGGAAAAACGTCAGTTAAAAAGCAATTCAATAATTACGAGAGTAACATTTCTGTAGATTTCAGTTTCTTATCAAAAAAATCTTGAGCCGGAGTATTGATCATAACGATATTTTCCGTATAGGATGTTCTAAAAGGCGGGCCATCTGAAATACATATATTTGGGGGTAAATTTTGTACGTTATTGGTTCCTTCTTGGAAGCTTTCCTTTTTAGTGGGAACTTCTGCAAGACAATTAACCCTACATTTAGGGAATACCCTGTATCTTACATAGAGGGCAATGAAGGACAATAGTTTCATTTGTTATTAATGGAGTTTGTATAGATTAGTGCTGAAAATTAAAACATATTGAATTTTTTACTGCTATTAAAAATCGGGTGTTTTTTTCAAAGAATTTAATTTTTTAATAAAAAATAGGTATTATATCTCAGTGTTAAGGTGGAAAAATTGATTCACAAAAAATATTACAATTATTGAAAAAGTCTCACGAGCTTTTATTATGTTTTTCCTCACTTGTGCTATAGTTTTTGCTGTCCTTGTAGTCTTATTTCATTAATTTTGTTGTAAAGAATCATCTTTTTTGATTGTATAGTTTGGTATATATGACGTGACCGCTGCTATATTTGTGTTCCTTTACTTTCTGCCCCTCCAGCATCTGATTTTAAAGTTTCCTAATAGATTTTATTTGCTCCGAACTTAATTTAATCAATAAGTATCAATAATTATTGTTCCGTCACCATCTGTATTACTGTTTTAATGGCTGCTCTCTAGATTTTGGGTTTTGCCTTTTTGGAATTGAGTCAGAAAAAGCCATTTGTCATTGAGTAATTTGTTGGATTTATGGTGATCTCAAAGCAAAAATTGGAAAAGAGCAACAATACCTACCAACTATAGGTAAGCACAGCCTTCATGAGGTATCCAATAACAATGGTATCAGACTAATAAATCTAGCAACTTCCCTTAACATGGTCATTGATAGCACATGCTTCCAACGAAAAAATATTCATAAGGGAACATGGAGATCTCCAGATGGGGTTACAGTAAACATGATCGATCATGTTATTATTGACTTTAGACATCACTCATGACGTAATAAATGTATGCAGCAGACGAGGGGCAAATGCAGACTCTGATCACTACCTAGTGGAAAGTAGAATAAGAGGCAATATCTCAAACATTAAAAAAGAAAAGGGATCCAAAATTGAAAAATATGAAATAAAAAACTTAGCAGACAATAGCAAAAAGGCCAAATATAAAGAATATGTAAAAGGAAGGCTAGAAAACAGACAAAAGCACGAGGATATGAACAGAGAATGGGAAGCATGTAAAAACATCATACAAGACGCGACCAAAAGTGACCCTGGGTCTACAAAAAAAACTCAAATCAACTGAAGGACGTTCGATGAAGAGTGTCGTAACATAACGGAGAGGAAAAATAATGCATATCAACGACTACAACACGTCATAGAACACGAAAGGCAGAGGAGGAATATAGAATGCTAAGAGGGAAGAAGAAATACATCGCAGAAAGAAAAGAGAGCAGATAGAAAAAGAACTCGCAAGAAATAGAAGAACTAAATAAACCATCACAAACTAGTAAACTCTACAAAAACTTAACAAAAGTAGAAAAGAATTTAAACCAAGAACAATGATCTGCAGAGACAAAAGGAGATATAGTAACTCAACAGAGTGAAAGAAGGACAGAATTCTTCAAAGAAATTTTGAAAAAGACGAAAATCCACTATATGATGGAATTATACTGGATCAAACGGATGCCAGAGAAACAAACCCCCTTCAGTAGCTGAAATGCAAGAAGCAGTTCCAGACTGAAAAACAACAAGACACCTGGATTAGACAATATTAGCGCATGATTAATAAACGAAGGCGGAGACTCCCTATCGAATGCGATACACGAACTAATAGTGAACATATGGAATAATAAACAACTGCCACAAGACTGGAATACTGGAGTAATTATCCCACTACATAAAAAGGGAGATCAGCTTCAATGTAAAAACTACCGGCAATAACGCTACTAACTGTGGCATATAAAATACTGTCAAATATTGTGTATGACCGATTGGGACCATATATGGAACAAATAGTTGGGGGATATCAATGTGGTTTCTGCAGGCAGAACTCCACAATAGATCCGATCTTCGTCTTGAGTCAAATCTTGGAAAAGACTAGTGAATTTAATATAGACATACATTATCTTTTCATTGATTTTGAGAGTGCCTATGATAGCATCCATCGAGAATTTCTGATCCATGCACTGACAGAGTTTAATATTCCAACTCAACTCAACTACGACAGAGAGATGCCCTATCCTGTATTTTATTCAACATCACATTAGAGAAAATAATTACAGAGTCAAGTCAACACCAGAGAAGCAATAATAAAAAAAAGTGTACAAATATTGCATTTGCAGATGATGTTGATATCATATCTAGAAGCGAAAGACAGATGATAGAAGCATTTAATGCGATAGAACGAGCGGCACAAAAAAGTGGCCTAAACATTAACGAAATAACAATCCAATTACATGAAGGCCAGCATATCGACAGGCCAAAGAAACCTACAGAATCTGACAATAGAAGACTAACATCGAAAGCGTGAAAAATTTTACATGTCGAGCTAGTGATGATGATGAATTTGTTGGATTTTCAGTACTAAAACCTGCCAGTATGCGCTTGTTCATTATAGGCCTCTATAATAATTTTGTTGAATATTTTAAATCTTATTCTTCTTTTTATATGACCTGTGTCTTTTCTGAAGCACACTTTTTTTTGGTTTTTCTTTCTAAATTTTTGTTTTCTCCTTTTTTTGCATATATTTGATAATTCTACATTTCTACATAAATATGTATAAAAACAAGAATAAAACTTGTTAAGTATATGTTATAATTTTCAGCCGCTATCAATAAATATTGACTAAATTCACATGAATATATTTTCCGCATTTTTCAACCCTTTTGTATTATTTAATCAGTGTATTATACTTATATATTTTATACAGAATTTTTAACATACAATTCTTCTTTTATATAAATTTGTTGGCTATAATTTTGCTGTTCATCAACAAATATGCAGCTCGTAGTTACATTAATCATTACAATACAGTTGTTTTGAGTTGTATGGACCTTTGTAACAAAAACATCATATTTTTGGACATCTATACAATCCAGCAATTGTCTGGAACTTGGTTCCAACTTCCTAAGAGAAGACTATATACATGGACGTCTCCTTCACATACAGAAAACCACACTGTCAGAAACCAGATAGAGTTTATACTCGTAAATAGCAGATATAAAAACTCTATAACCTCAGTTAAAACTTATCCTTGAGCAGATGTTAACTCAAGACCACAATCCGTTAGTTGCTGACTTGAAAATGAAATTAAAAAGAATTGAACTCAGAAAACAACAACCAAAAATGAATGTAAGAATGCTAAAAAAACGAAGAAATAAAAAAGGAATTAAAAAATAATGTGGATGTTAAACCATCCAACCATGTATGACTGAAACCAGCTCAAGAAAGTTTGATACAACATAGGTCAGAGGCTAAAAAACAGTGAATGACAGTGAAGAAATACTATTACAGATGGAAGGAAAAGATCTACAGAAGTATAAAGAAATACAACGAATAATTCAGGAAAAAATCAAAACAGCTAAGGAAATTTATTTGATGAAACAATGTAAAGAGATAGAAGAACTAGAAACAAAATATGATATGAGAAATATGCACAAAAAAATAAGAGAAGTGACTGGAATGGGTCGAAATAGACAGCAAGAACACATAAAAGACAATCAATAGGAGTACTATCAATAGATTTACCAGAGAAATTAAGACGATGCAGGTGAAATGCAGAAAATATAAGAATTAAATCTTTTAGAGAAATAGAAGATCACGATAGATGAAATCAAATATGCTATCAAAAATTCTAATACAAAAGGTAGCTGGATTAGATGAAATACCAGTAGAACTGTTAAAACTAGTGAAGAGGATAATTTGGAAGTATTGGCAGATTTATTCAACACCGTATACGATACAGGAATAATACCACAAGAGTGGCTGAAGTCAGCATTTATAACCATCCCTCAAAAACAAGCAGCAAAAGAGTGGTCTGATTATCGAACATTGAGCCTCATGAATTATACTTTAAAAGTACTGTTGAACATAAGAGAATATACGAGAGGCAAGAGGAGGATATTAGCGAGGCGCAGTTCGGGTTCCGAAATGAAATGGGGATTGGGTACATGTAACGTTGATCTACACTTGTGCTTTGTTGACTACGGAAAAGCTTTCTATAAAGTAAAACATGAAAAACTAATATCAATACCTATGAACAAGCGCATTGACAGTAGAATCATAAATATAGTGCAAACATTATATTGGAACCAAAGTGCTATAGTTCAAATTGATGGACAACACTGAGAAGAATACGCTTGATAAGTTTTTTACTTTCAGATTGATTTTAAATGCTTCACTTTTTGCTGTTAGGCGAAAAAAGCGAAAATATACCGTGTTTTGACCTTAATTTGTTAATAACTAAATAAAGTTCAAAAATTCGACTGCAGGAAACATATATAGGTTCTTATTTAGAGGTCCATACTACCTAAAACAACTGTCCGGACTAGTTTCACGAAAAAAATTGTTATTTCCTTGGGCTATTCTATTGAGTTTATAATAGTTTGTACATCTTTAGTAGTGTACTCGAGATATGGTAGAGGATTACAGATTTATTAAATGTAATTGAATATGTTCATGTATTTTTGATCAGTATTTTAAAAAATCTTTAGCACATGACCGAATAAAAATACCCGCGGTGTATTAATTATGTTTTTGCATAAACACACTAATGTAGTTCAGCAGTTACAATATCAAGTTAAAATTCATATGAAATTCTAGCTTTATATTTTTGTTTTTTTTTATTTAATATATTTAATTATTTTTCTTACTAACTACGAATATTCCAGGTAAGTTTTTCTGGGGACTTCAGAAAAAATTCAGGTATCTAGCTACTATAGAATGAAAACTTATGTTGATTGTAGAGAATCCGTTGTTGTTTTTTAGTTATAAACAATTAACTGCAAAAAATGCATTTTTCGATTTTTTAAATTTTTTTAATAAATTGCATTTTTATTTGTTAATGAAAATTAAAAAAAAATTTTGGAGGCGTAGTTTCATAGATTCCTCCCTACTCACTTAACGTAGTTTTCATTTGAGCCTCACTTTTTAAAATCCAAAGATGATCTCGTTAAAATGCAATGTTTTTCACAAATCATGTACGAAAAGTCTGAACCTTTATATTTAAAATGGTGCTCATTACGTTTTTTAATTGCTATAGACAATTTAGCTGTGAATTTAAAAAACGCGTTAGCTAGAGACCTGGATTATTCCAAATTCCCGATAAAAACTTACTTCCATAGAGTATAAAGCAATATTTTATTTATCCGTGGAACCGTCTAAGCAAACGAGATATCAATATACAGGGTGTTTCAAAAATGTATGTCATAAATTAAATCACGCATTCCGGAGACAAAAATAAATTGATTGAATCCAACTTACCTTAGTACAAAAGTGTACACAAAGTTACAGCCCTTTGAAGTTATAAAATAAAGATCGTTTTTTTGCATTATCTCTTAAACTACTTGAAATTTTGTAATAAAAATGGACACGTTACTTTCTTGTTCTGAAAGCATTTTTCATACAAAAGAAACAACAAAATCAAATGCTAAAATCAAAAACTAATGATGCCACAAGATTCATTTGATTTGAACGTACTCAAAAGTTTGGGGGGATTTTATTGCTGCACACCCCCCAAATTTTTCTGTGTACTTAGATTTTGTTGTTTCTTTTGTATGAAAAATGCTTTCAGAACAAGAAAGTAACGTGTCCATTTTTATTACAAAATGTTAAGCAGTTTAGGAGATAATGCAAAAAAAACAATTTTTATTTTGTAGCTTCAAAGGGTCATAACTTTTTTGTGCACACTTTTGTACTAAGGTAAGTGAGATTCAAACAATTAATTTTTGTCCCCGGAATGCGTAATTAAATTTATGACATACCTTTTTGAAACACCTGTATTGGAGAATTAACAAAAAGTGTCAAAAGAACCTCATAGCGTACCATTGTCAGTGTAGTTACTTATATATTGTTTGTACAGATTTGTTTTGAAAGGTTTTTAAAATTCCCGCCCATTGTGACGTCAGAGCCTAGATAGTTCATTATTGTAGATGACAGCGGTCACAAGATGGAAGAGGAGATGTCTATTCCATATTTATCATAAACTTAAAATTAACTTTACAATTACCTACTGATTGTTCTTTTCATTAGTAATAAAAAATATTCAGAAAATCCCTTTCCTTCATTAAAGTTGAATATTTCATTGGTAGATCTTATTTAGAGCATAAACATACTATGGAGAGGCATTTATATTATTGGTTGAACGAAAGGGTACCCCCCGTTAAGATACGCAAAACGCCCTCACTCTCAGAATTAAATTTTTTTCATTTTTTTACGTTCTATGTGATTAAAAAATAAGGCTCATGGCAGTTTTAGCCTGCCACTTCCACTACCCACCTGATAAAAACGTCAATTTTTTGTTTTTATTTTTTTAAGTGGGATAGAATCAATTTAGAAATTACAAAATTCACACGCATAGTTGACGCTTTTACAAAACTTGTCTATTTTTTATAGACCTGTAAGCTGAGTGTACTTTTTTTAGAAAAAAGCGTATAACTTTTTTTTGTTGGTATCTTCAAAAATCCGAAAAACTGTTTTTTAAGAGTTTTGGGAGGATTTTCTCCATTTTGGGGGGTGACAGGCTAAAGTTGCGCTGAGCCTTATTTTTAAATTAGATAGAACGTAAAAAAATAAAAAATAACTTGAATTCTGGTAGTGAGGGAAGTTTTGCCTATCTTAACCTTTTGTAGTCGTAAATAGAAACTTGACAGCTGAAACGTATATTCCGAAGATTTTCCAACGATGCGATATTACTACAATATTTCGCACTGTTTGAATTATGAGCAATTATCTAGATCTAGAAGTAGTCAAATGGAAGGCATCTCCAGCTGGAGATTTGAATTTAGATCCCATAGAGAACTTTTGGATGACTAAGAAGAAATTACGTAAGATGAGAATGTACTTCTTCTTCTTCTAGTGCCGTCTCCACTAATGAAGGTTGCTATAATCATTGCAAATTCGTCTCTATCTTCTGCTTTTCTTAAGAGCGTCTATGTGTTTAACCCGGTCCAGTCGCGAATGTTTTTCAGCCAGGATATTTGTCGTCATACCAGGACCCCATTTTTCTTCGATTTTACCCTTCATAATCAGCTGCAAGAACTTGTACTTATCATTTCTAAGTATGTGCCCCAAATATGCTGTCTTTCGCCTTTTAATGGTTGTCAAAAGTTCTCTGTCTCTTTCCATTCTGTGCAACACCATTTAGTTCATAATATGATCGGTCCATGGTATAGGTAATGACTTTTAACAAGAGCTATGACCTTGTAAATAACAGGTAAACTTGTGTACTGCATCGGCATGACTCATAGCTCTTGTCAAAATCCATTACTTCTATCTTCAAAATTCTCCTAAAAAACCACATCTTCCAGTTTTCTCATTACGTCAACATTAATAGTCCAGGCTTCGACACCATAAGGAATATTGTGGATATAACATTTTACCATCCGAGATCGGATTTGCAGATTGAGTCTTTGGTTACTCAGAAATTTCCTCATCTTAAAAAGGCTGCTGTTGATTGCTCTATTCTTGAGTGAATTTCTGATTTCGGATTTAGATCTTCCGTAATCCAGACTACTAAGTATTTAATTTCGCCCACTTGCTCAATATCTTCATTTTTTATCTGGATCCTTGTAATGACGTTGTCCCTCTTACTGATAAACATGGTTTTTGTTTTCTTTATGTTTATTGTTAGAACAAACTGCTCCCCAGTATCACAAATTGTGTTTAGTAACGTCTGCAGGTCTGTCTCATTTTCAGCGATAATGACTGTATCGTCAGCATAACGGATGTTATTTATATTTTCACCATTTATCTTGATCCCTTCTGTACAGTTTTCAAGAGCTTGCGTAAATAACTCTTCGGAATATATATTAAATAGTAATGGTGAAAGTACACAGCCCTGTCTCACTCCTCTACTTATCTGTTGCGTATCCGTGCTATTTCCATCTAATGTTACTACAGCCTGTTGGTTCCAATAGAGATTTCTCACTATGTTAAAATCATATTTGCCGAGTACTTTTCTCTTTAGACATTCCATGAGAATGTTGTTTGCCTAAAGCTTTCTATTAGTCTATAAACGCAACGAAAAGATCTTTTTACTGGTCTCGACAGTTTTGGGCAAGAGTTGTGAAACTATACAGAGCTTCCACTGTTCCGAAGCCGTTACGAAAATGTACCTAAAGCGCAATACTAGCTAATGACACTTCTTGTTAAATTGCATTCTATTATAAAATTATGTTTTTTCTTTGAATAGGATAATAGTAAATAAGACGATTAAATATTTTTTATGAGAAACAAATCATTTAAACTTTTATTTTGAGTTGCCATGATAACTTTGTTATTTTAGCGGTCATGTACTAATATAAATCACCCTGCATCTTAAATTGATGAATATTTTCGTTAGTATGTAAAGTAAATATTTGTCCCTAGAACTACGTAACTCAGCCAGGTTATTATCCACGGCATAATTTGTACAACGCTCAAACTCAGCCGCAACGGTACACCTACGATGCTCGACGTAACATCAGAGGTCATTATCCATACCATGAGAACCGGTATTACGGCCAGTTTAGACCTGGAGCGCCTCATAATCCAGGAGACCCGTACACAGTGCGTTTAAGAGTTGGCGAACGGGAGTATCCGGGGCAAGGGTACACCGTGCAGGCTGCACGTCACGACGCTGCGTCCAAGGCCATCGAACATATTAAACAACTAGGTGAACTTACATATATTATGAAATTACTAATTTTTTTAGTTTTCATTATTAATAAAAGCTTTTTCGAATCAATCAGAAGGGCACCGTTCTAACAAAATTAGTTGACATATTTAGGGCGATATTTAGTTGAATAATCCACTATTTCTAAACTGAGTAACTTTTGAGAAAAATCGAATTTAAAGTTTTTAGATTGTACAAATTTTAATTGATCACAGGTACTTCGGACCAAAGTGATGGCGATATATCTCCTGATGTTACTCAGCAGATATCGAATGAATCTGCTCAAGGAAGCCTATCTGACATTAATTCAGATCTGAAGTCTCCTATTTCACTGGTATATGAGATTGCTTTGAAGAGAAATTTGAACGTTCATTTTGAGGTTCTAAGCGAGAAGGTAAGTGGATGATTGTACCACTCGGTTCCCTATTTACACCGATGTAATTTTATAGATGTTGTAAAAAGGTATTTTGTAGGGGCCTCCACATATGAAAGTTTTTATAACACAATGCTGTGTGGGCTCCTTCATAGCCGAGGGCGAAGGAAATGGAAAGAAAATCTCAAAGAAAAGAGCTGCCGAAAAAATGCTGGAGCAACTTTCGAAGCTTCCACCGCTTCCAAACGTCACGAATATAGCTCAGCTGAAAAAGAAACGTGTTACAAACAAAAAGAAGACCCGTAACTTGATCAAAGTTAATACAGACCGATCTACCGAAGTGGTTGAAGAAATTAATCCAATATCAAGATTGATTCAGATCCAACAAGCCAACAAGGAAAGGGAACCAGTATATACCGTTTTGGAAGAGCGTGGTGCACCCAGACGTAGAGAATTTGTCATCGAAGCTTCTGTTGCTGGCCATTCCTGCACTGGCGTGGGGCCCAACAAAAAGGTAACTAAAATATATCTCATCTATCATACAAAGTAATTCATAAACAATGTAAATTATTAACTGTTTTCATGTGTTTACAGGTAGCCAAGCGTAATGCAGCTGAAGCATTATTGATTGATCTTGGCTACAGCAACACTAACAGCAACAACGTGAAGCCCATCGACAAAGTCAAGGAGGAAGGCGCTGCTGCAAACATCCATCCTAATATGGACAAAAATCGCAAGGTAACTTTTGTTGAAGAAGTTCCTGAGATTCAACCCACTCAATCAGTTGGTGGCAGTGGTGGTAGACAATTGGTACCGGGAATTCTTTTGGTTACTGAACAATCTGGGTTCCCGAAACCTAAAGATACTATGGACAAGCCTGTGCAACAGCCTCCTACTCAGATTAAACCTCCATCTACAATCCAGGTAAGATTCTATAATGTTTAACCTTCCTAATACCAGGAGAGCGAATTTTTGCCCCAGTCTTTTATAAGCTTAACCTAGATGACTCCCGGGGTCCCCTATCGCAAAAAATGTGTTTTTTTTTAACATTTTCCTGGGAGATTGTATGCTTTAAAAAAATTCCTTAAAATTTATTCCTTAAAAAAATCACAAACATACATTTAAAAAAATGTTTTGTTTGGATCAAAATTGAGATCAGGAAAATTATTTGAATTTAAAAAAAAAAATTAAGTTATGTAGGTAATTTGTATCAAACTTCTAAATAATTATTTTTCGTGTGTTTTTTCCGTTTTTTAAATGGCAGGGTTAGATTTGTCATTTTCTCTCCGTAACATCCTTAAAATTTGAAAAAATCCTTTTTTTTTGTATGTTTTTCCATATTTTTAGCACATAACCCCAACGCATGTTTTCATCTATTTTTCCGTTTTTTCTTTCAGTGTCATATTGGTTATTTCCACACTGAACATAGGTACTATGAATTTGAAAAACTGCATTTTTCGGTGTGTTTCTTATATTTTAAGCACATACAACCCTCTCATTACTCGTGAGTCGTGTCGTATATACGTATTTTGCACCTATAAACGCTCATAAATAAACAATAACCAAAAATTTTTTGTTAAATGAACTGGGGGATTGCTCCTGAGGTTGCCCTGTTATAACCTTTGCCACATTACATAAATTCCTGGATTACAGTGTCAAATCACCCTTTTTTCCCCACAGCAGGGGCTATACGGGGTCAATATCCGATGTAATAAATAGATCTGAAAGTATTTTTTGTTTGTCTACCTTGTGACCGAAATGTTTGGTTTTGCATTATATATCCAAAAGAATTTTACATGTTATGATTTATTTATATATATTACTTCAGGGCGTACGTTCCAAGGACAAATTGCTATATTTGGCTCAGCTGATGAATATCCAAGTCCAGTTTTCGGATTTTCCAAAAGCAAACCACGAAATGTATTTGACATTGGTGTCTTTGAGCACCAACCCACCTCAAGTTTGCCACGGTGAAGGTCCAACAACTGAAGCTTCACACGAAAAAGCTGCCCTTGAGGCTTTGAAAGCGCTTTCTGAACTGGGTCTCGATATTGCCCCCAAAGATGGTTCTGCTGGACCTAATGGCAATGAAAAGTAGGTAAACTAATCTAATTCTTGATTAATATATCGAAAAAAAATCGTATTTAGGGTAGGCTGTACATTAACAATTTCCTTTGGTTGTGGTTTTAGTCACTCCCACGCAACAGTAAATAAATTCAAAGATGCACAAGGTGTTTTGTATTTAAAATAGAAATTCGAAGAAAAAATTAATTTCCTGTATCTTTCATTGATTATAATGTAGTCTATCTGGTTCCTAACTACTTTCTCCGATGGATCTGCGGGCGATCGCCATGCATACAGTCGTCTGTTGTTTGGTAACTTGAAAAATGTGTTTGTAGAATTGTTTCAAAACCTCGCAGACCTCGTAAATACGCATGCTCGTAAAATAAATGGAACCTAAAAAAATGCACCATTTTAGTTTCATATGAAATAAGGAGACATGCACGTGCTAATGATATTGAGTATTTCGAATAAACATGACATTATGTTTCTTTAATCTTAAACATTCCAGTTAGTCATCCCATTTTTATTTTATCTCACGTTGAAAGATGTAATAAAAATTTACGACTTCCCGTCTTCATTGCCGATAAGAATTGCTGTGTAAAAATGTAAAATATTTACATTGCACTAATTTCGCTTATAAATAGACCTTTTAAGAAATGAAAAAAATGTAGAGGATACATAAATAATTAAAAAATCAATGTATGATAGAAAAATAACAGGATTTTGGTTTTAAATTCAGTAAAATATGTTTATACGATTATACGAGACGAAAACCTCGAATTTCTTGGGAAAAATATTCTCATGAGATTTTTTTCATAATCAATTTTATAAAATACCACAAAGTGATGTTCAAGAGGTCGCCCATACAAAAAGTGGTCCTATTTTATTGAACAGTTTTGTATAAATCCATTTTTAGGTTGTGATATAAAAACAATTCTTCATGTACCATGTCCTTACAGAACGTTGGTTACCATCCTAGCTATCATAATTTATAGCATGCTTGTATCAACACCATACCAATCTCGCAAGTTCTTCAACCATGAGGTTCTTCTTCGTCCTGGATTGCATTTGCCTACTATTTTTCCATGCATGATATTTTGTAGCAACCTATATTTGAGTCCTCTCATTACATGCCCGAAATACTCCAGCTTTCTCTGCTTGATGCCTTTTATGATCTCAGTAGTCTTGCTGAGACGTTCTAGTATTGTGGAGTTTCGAATCTTCTCCACCCAGGAAACTTTTAAAATTCTTCTATAGCACCACATTTCGAAAGCCTCAAGGCGGTTTAGATCGATTTTATTCACAGTCCAGGATTCGACACCATAAAGTAAGACCAAGAACACGTAGCAGCGAAGTAGGCGGATCCTCAATGCCAATTTTAGGTCTCTATTACATAACACCTTGGACATCCTTCTAACAGCAGCTAGCATGCTCTATCCTAGATCTAATTTTGCCGTGACTTACTGCGTGACAATTTAATTGCTGTCCAAGGTAAACGATTTTATCAACTTGCTCAAGTTTAGTACTATTTACATATATAGACGGTTTTATATGCTGTTGTTTACTCATTATGAGTATTTTGGTTTTCCGTATGTTCAGATCCAGACCTGCCTCCCTACAACTCTCAACGACACCACATAATAATAAACAATCAGAATGCCCACTCTCCATGGAAAATTAAGTACGCGCATCTCGTTCGCGCAGACGTTCCGCCATATTTTAAAGGGAACCAGCGTTGTTTAATGAAAATATATGTGGTGTTCAACAGCAAACTACTGCTTCAATTTTTTAAGAAAAACTTGGCCTTATTATGAACACTTCACTTATTGTTGCAATATCTATATCTTTAAAAATCAGTTCTTAAGAGAAAATAATAATGTAAGTAAGTGTTGACTAGAACTTTTAATTTTTACTTCAAGGTTTTATATATATATATATATATATATTATTATTATATTATATATATATATTATATATATATATATATATATATATTTAGTTTTTGTATACAAACCAATTATTGTTTGAACATTTTATAGAAAATACTTTGCAGAAATAATAAAGTAATTTAAACTTGCACAAAATCATCAAGACATAAAATTAAGCTTTGTTTATAACAATACAAATTTATAGAACCAATTTCTTATAAAATATACCATATTATGTTTCATGTAGGTCGGTACTATCCTGTTCTTCACCTGTCATAGTGCTGCTTATCGCATTTTTTTTTCAAATAAATATAACCGGATTATGACTTGTTTGAGCACTGTTGAACTGTTTACCGAAACAAATTTATACAAATATTATTAGCTGTAGGTATACAAAACTGTTCAATACTACAACTCGCTGTCATGCCATACGTAATGTAAATGTACAGCCTCCTCAAATTACGGTTTTTTTTTCTGTGGCTCGATATAAGGTTTTAATAATGTGATGTTACTTTGTTGGTTTCAGTGCTTCCCCAGTGGTGTCTAACAAGGGGCCGGTACACCAAAACGGCGTGAAGAACTAAACTTTGAACTCTGCGTAGGCTGTACCAATGGCCTTAATTTTTTAGGAATGCATCTCCCTTAGTGACTGCTTTTTTTAGTCATTGGTACAGAACATTTATACATGAGTTCCATGTGGCCATGTAAAAAATTTGCATAACTTATATTCAAATAACTACGAATTATTTTTCTTCTTATTTAATGTGATTTCATTAACATATGTTATATGAAATGATATCATATATCTATGTATAATTCTGGTTATTGCTTGAGCACTGTGTATTTCAAGTCAGTGCTACCCATTTTCGTTTTCGTGGGCAGAAAATGAATTTGGGAGACAGTAGTTCAGAATTGGTTTACAAAATTGTAAGTCGTGTATTTAAGGTATACACATTTAGGGTTCGAATGTTTATAGTGTTTTCAAAATATTTCTAAGTATTTTAAACACAAAACCCTCCATTATATATAGAAAACGAGGTCAGATTCTCATATTATATCATGGTCAATAGAAACGAGTGTTGAGACCCTCTCAAAAGAAATATTATGCTCCTTTCATGCAAACAAAATCAGTTGATATTCAAGTTGTGCCTGTAGACGTAAACAAGACGAACATTCTTCGAAAAATAACTTTAAAACGTAGCCCAGGAGCTTAGATACAGGCTTACAAAGTAGGAGGGTCCAGATTCGATTCGTGCTGGCACTGCAAGTTAACAGTCGCCATCGTGGAAGGCACGTAAAGCCGTCGGTCCCAGTTATTACATTAAAACCTGAGCTGGAAGGTTACAGGAATGGAAGATAAGAGATATCAAACATCTAGAAGAGTAGAAATTGATCATCCTGTATGTATTTGTGCGACAATTTGATATAACATGATCAGATGTAACTTTCTGATATATAATGCACGGTTTATATGTTATTATGTTATGGTTATAAGAGTATAGACTAAGCAAATCATAAAAAATTACAAAAGTTACTGAAAGAAGTCATTCGGCTCAGTTCTATCACTCTTAATAATCTTTAGTTATGTTTAAGTAAAGCTATTAATAAAGTAGTTAGAAATACTCTGGAAACAGACTTAGTTGTATAAATTCCAATATTTCATGTAGGTATCTTACGCATATATGAAATACTTAATTGTCATATTGTGAGTGACTAACATAGCAGAATGTTGGTATAAGTTAATTGTTACAAATATTATTTCGGACCCTAATATTAATAATTAATTAGATTTATGTTTATTCATTTTTAAAGCTAGTATTCGCTAACCGTTTTCTGACAAAATGCACGTGTAATTATATTGTCAGAGAATGAAATCAAGTTAGTTGTTCTCTCTAGATGCGATGCAATTCTGATCTGCTGATCAAAACACTTTTGTTGGTGATTGATTTCTGTATTCCGGAGGCTTCACTGTTCTTTTTAATTGATAATTTAATTCTTTTTATGAATGCGATTTTAGTTCTGTGTATTACATAAGTAGGATTCATATTTAATAATGTTATGCCTCTACTTTGAATTCGGAATCAATAAACATATACACAAATTAGTATTATATATTTTTTTTATTATGACTCATTACCATTTTCCTAGTTACCATACCAATAATGTAGAAAATACTACAGGACATTATGTTAACGATGAACTTCCTACAGTACAATCAACCAACTTACATCTCTAAACGATTAATGGAATTCGCAGAAAACCTTTCGTTGTACTAAAAGGCGCGGTAAACTGCACTGGTGTTCTCTTTAATGTTTAACACTTCGCTAAATATTAGGTATAAAATAAATATATGTCTCATTAACGCGTTGTTCATAGTTTTGCATATTTTGTTTAATTTTTTTAATACATAATATTCTTGCATCTTCTTATGGTACCCTATCCAATTAGTGGATGTTAGCGACAATTCTGGCATACTCCTCTCGATCTTGTGTGGCTCTAAAGAGTGCATGGCATCGAGGTTTGTCCAATCACTTATGTTTTTAAGCCATGGGTATTTCTTTCTTCCGATGCTCCGTTTTCCTTCTATCTTCCCTTCCATAATAAGCTTTAAGAACTGGTACTTGGAATTTCGAAATATATGACCCAGATAAGCAGTTTTTCTTCTTTTTATTATTTTTAGCAATTCTCGTTCTCTGCAAATTCTATTTAATACTTCGACATTTTGTTGTGTGATCTGTCCAGGGAATTTTAAGTAGTCTTCTAAATACCCACATTTCAAAGGTTCATCAGATTAGCCTTTATGGTCCAGGATTCAGCAGTATGGAGTAAATGTAACATTTTATAAAGCGATATCGAAGCCATTAAGTTAAGGCTGCTGTTGCTTTGCAAGATTCTCATATTAGTAAATGCTGTTCTGGCTTGCTCAATCCTGCTACGTATCTCTATATCTAGATCTTCAGTTATCCAACTACCGAGATATCAGAACTTGGGGACCTTTTGGATGTACTTAATGTTTACTCTTATATCTAATCGGATATTTCGTATTCTACTAACCACCATTACCTTCGTCTTGTCTATATTAATCTTCAAGCCCAGTCGTTCTCCTTCAGTGTTTATTCTATATATTAGTCGTTGTAGCGCTTCTTGGCTATCAGCTATTATGACTGTATCATCAGCATAGCGAAGATTACTAATAGTCTGTCCGCTGATTTTGATTCTATCTTCAGTGTCACTTAAGGCTCTATCGAAAATCGTTTCAGAGTAAAGATTAAAAAGGAGGGGTGACAGAACACAACCCTGTCGTAAACCTTTTTCGATTGAGAAATTGATGTAGATTTCAGTCCTACTCTCACAGCTATCACTTGATTCATATAAAGGTTCGTTATGATTTTAAGGTCATTCTTATCTATCGAGCGTTCCTGGAGCAATCTTACTAATTCTGAACGATTGACACAATAGAACGCTTTCTGGTAATCTATAAAGCATAGGAAGACATCTTTTTGCTGATCTCTGCATTTCTGAAGTAGGACAGTTAAGCTATAAAGTGCTTCTCTTGCGTCAATTCCTTGTCTGAAACCGAACTGTGTGGGGCTAATGTCTCTTTCACATCTGTTATATATTCTTGTGTGAATTATCTATAAGAAGAGTTTTAGGACGTGGCTCAATAAGCTGATCATTCGGAATTGGTCGCAACTCTTAGCGTTTGGCTTTTTTGGGATTGGTATAAAGGTTGATTGAAGCCAATCCTGTGGTATTTCACCATTGTTAGAACCTCTATGTATATGTCGTCTGGACCTAGTGCTTTTCCTCATTTGCTTTGTTTGCTTGATAGTAGAGGGCCAGCAGATCCAAAGAGTAAAAAAGTACACTTACCTAGGAACACATAACAGAAAATAATGACTACACTGCAGAAATCAAAGTCAGAATCGAAAAAGCACATTCTAATTTTATGAAAATGATAAAGGTCCTATGTGGCAAAAATTTAACATTAGCTCTTAGAGTACGCCTAACAAAATGTTGAATATACAGTGTACTATACTATGGAGTGGAATCATGGACGTTAAATCTAGACACAATGAGACGACTTAACGCCTTTGAAATGTGGACCTATAGAAGAATTATGAGGGTTTCCTGGGTAGATAGAGTTACGAACAATGAAGTACTGAGAAGAATAGTTAAATAGAATGGATGTGTGATGAATTCCACATCCCCGATAAACTGATACGATTGGCCAAGGCTACAATGCGTGAAGTTGTTTGCAAAGTCGAAATACAGGGCGAACAATCACAGGCATTGTAAACGCAAGTTGGGCTGCGACAGGGAGATGCGCTGGCGTGTCTCCTTTTTAACATAGCTCTGGAAAAGGCGGTCAGGGATGCCCAAATAAACAATAGAGGAAACATTTTTAATAAATTATCCCAAATTTTGGCATATGCAGATAATGTTGACCTATAGTTGAGCCGCCGAAAAGATGGAATGATCACGTGAATGGCACGCACTCTTAAATATTCCTCTTCCTCTGTTATCACTTTTCCCACGTTTACACCGCTCAACAAAAACGAACTAATACTCTCGCTATAATATATTTATACCGTTTTTTACAGGTTATTGATTTACATTAAATTTAAACATTTTATTGGCTTTTGCGTGTATAAGTATGTCAAAAGTAAACTTTAAATAAAATTAATAGATAAATTCGTTTTATAAATTTGATGGAATGAGATTCATTTGAATAGAATAGAATATCTTTATTCACAAGAATACAAAAAATACAAATACAAATTAATATACGTACGCGTGAACTCTACAACAATTTTTAACACTGCCAACAAAATTCACCAGCGAAAGTGAAACACAAATTAATAATGACCATAGATAAATTATGCAAGGAAAGATTGAAGGTAGGCGCAGCATAGGTAGGAGAAGAATGTCATGGTTGAGAAACCTCAGGGAGTGGTTTGCTTGCACTTCCATACAATTGTTCCGAGCGGCAGCCTCCAGGGTCAAAATTGCCGTGATGATAGCCAACCTTCGTAGCGGAGATGGCACGTGAAGAAGAAGAAGATAGATAAATAATATATTGACGATGTAAACAGTTTCTCAGAAGATCTAGTTTTGACCGAATGTCGATGCTAGCATTCAGCGATCATGCGACCTTGGATTCCATGTTTTAAGCGGCCAGGGTATAGTTGCCCACACAACACGCAAGCTAGAAGAAATGTATACCACCTTGTCAAATGCTTAAAAAAATATGGACTTGCAAGTAAATGAGGAGAAAACTAAGATAATGGCCTCACCACCCAACAATAGAATGAGAAACATCGGCCACCAATTCATGGTTGATAACTCCACCTTTGAAGTGATGGACAAATTCACATACTTATGCTCCCTAATCACCAAGGAGAACGTCATGACGGAAGAAATCAAGCGAAGAATAATCCTAGCAAACAAATGCTATTTTGGATTGAGTAGACATATGAGAAGCAGAAATTTAAGCCAAAAAAGAAAAATAACCATATACAAAACCCTTATAAAACCAGTGTTGACATATGACATGGTCCATTTCCAAGGCAGATGAAAACCT